ATTTTAAGAAATAGAAACGGTTTCTCAAACTGTAGAATGTAAGAGATATCTCTGCAAGCTATGTTCTTTATGACCCTTCTAAAAGCTACGTCCACAGGCAAAAGTAGATTCTTCACTTAAGCACATGTGTTTACACAACCTTCATAGTCAAACTCTCCTTCTTCCTGCTTAGTCTCAAAGTGCAATTTTAAATTGAACGTAGTGTATGGCTCCGTCTCTCTTCTATACAAGAGTAGATAAGGTGCACATTTTAACTAACCTAACCAAAATTAATTTTTCTAACCATAGTTATCATTAATTGGAGTAAATCCAAGATAAAGTTAATCTAATTGAGTAAAATCAGTTTCGATTTTGTTTTATTACAAAAATAGCAATTTGCATTTCTTTCATATGTTTAAATTTGCCCTGATCGCACTCGGAAACATTATCTTTTCATTTAGATGCTCATTCAAATGTTCAGCTTCATAGCCACATAAGCTCAAGCGGTGTTTGCCACTTTGTCAATATTTTGTCTCAAGTTTAGACCTATGAATTTTAGATTTAGCAAATAGGTTAAACATGTATAAAATACATTTAGATTGTTGTAGAATGCTGCATTGTAATCCAATTGTGATTTTTGTCCGACACAAATATGTAGCATCTAAGTTATAGTTCATTTTCTTCCTTCAACGATTGACTTTTTGTGATCATTGCTTCAAAAAATTTTTCTTCCAGCCCTACGACATACATCAGTTCATTGTAATTGATAGAAAGAATTTGACGAAAGGTTGGATATTTGAGAGATTCAATCCTATACGTCCGAGTTCTTTCCACAACTAACATTTATGTGATCAATGCTTCACAAAATTTATCTTCCATAATTATTACTACAATGAAACTGATAAAATTGCCATAGTTGCTATTGTTGTTTGTTTGGATGTTCATAACTTCATAACGATCATGCAATATTTTTAGTCATCGCCCTTGTCTTACTTCGCTTATGCTTCTCTATCATCATCACCATCATCATCTCCCTGCAACATGTCACTTTTGAGTTTTTGACATTAGTATTATATTCATGATTGATCTATGATGGCTCAAAACATATTCAAAGCGAATTGTACTATTCCATGAAGAAGATTTGGCTAGCATAGTTTTGTGAATCAAAAAATTAAGAGTATCATTCTTTGTATATCTAAACAAAATTGAAAGATTTATTGTTCAAAATTATCTTCATCTTTGCATTCATCCAATATCAACAAACATGCGATCATATCATATTGCATTTTGTTGTTAAATAGAAAAGCTCTGAAAAAAAAATTTCAATTACAAATAGTAAAATTTAGAAAAATGTTCTATTTAAAGCATTGATAAAGTGTGTGATATTGTAATCTAAATATTCTATGTACATCAATCACATTTATGATGTTGAAGAATTTTTTTAGCTCAAAGCGTTGTCCCATGAATATGCAAAACAATGTGCTTGTTTGGAGTAGATTAAATTTTAAAACTTCACATCATTATATTTCTACTTGGTACTTATTAATGATTCTTTTGCAAACAAGGCTTATGAAGTCTACTGACTTGATATTCTATTTTCATACAAATTCCATAAAAAATTTTGCTTGGTATTTTAATGTTCTTTGGAGATGTGTTTATATTTTATGTCACAATGTTTCATTCAACATAACAAAATAATAATTTAAAAGCCACTTATTTTTTCATAAGTATATATGTTTTTGTGTAAAAATTTTCAGCATAGCTATTTTATTATTTTTTCATTTTATTTTAACTTCATGTATCCATGTTTTCATGCCAAAATTTCATTTAATTCATTTTTCCAAATCTTAAAATTATTTGAATCAACTTTATACAAATGATAATCATCTTTGCGCTTGGGGCAATGACGCAGTTAGTGAGATGAAACCGAGACGCGTCAATTGCTGGTTGAAAACTATTTCCAAACTATTTCCATACTACAAGTGATTTTGTATACATCAATTTTTAATTATCAACTTGCAATCAAAAATAATTCAATCCAGTTAAATTTTACCCTACATACAAATATAAGTGATAAAGTTTTGATAGTCAAATTCAACTCTTTAATTACTTCATAAAGTTTTTTAATTATTTTTTAAATTAATCCTTTGATTCTTTGTTTCACTACTAAATTTTGAAATCAATTTTTTTCCATATTAATATGTATCATTTTTATATAAAATCTCTTAGTAAATATATTATAAATGTAATAAATAATTTTTCACTATAAACACAATTTACAAATTTTAATCATTGACTTGAAGCACAATTTGCATGTTTTAAAAATTACTAGTAATATCTATTAATGTTTTTTTATCAATAATCAATCCAATAACTATTTGAAATTTAATTTGGAATTGAAATATATATGTTTTTGTTAAATAAAAAATAAATTTATACAAAATATTTTTTTAATAAATAGAAAAAATTTCCATTAAAAATAATTTTTTTTTAAAATACGATTTTTTGCATTAATTTGTGTTAATAATTAATGTAAAATTTTAGTATAAAAAATAATACTCATTATGATTTGAAAGAAATTTTAAATTTCGATTATTGTGAAGCTCATCACAAATTTTTCTTTGATAAAATAATGCACCAGATTTTTTGTTGTTGAAATTAAATTTGTATCAGTTTACTGCAAGCTCTTAAAAAGCGAAAAATAAAGTAAAATCACTCATTAATAAGAAATGAAAAATGAATCTAAGGTGCAAGAATTCTGATTATTAAAATTTGATGTTTTTTTCATTATAAATTTTATTTTGTTAATTTCAATATGAACCTCAATTTTTATGGATATTTTATCTATTTTTCATTCTTCAATAACAAGAAATAATTATATGGGTTTTACATTTTCTATATTTAATTAAGTAAATTTCTCTATTTTAATAATATTTTTCATAAAATTTGTTCAGAATAAAATTATTAAAATTTTACTGGTTATAATTTTCATTACAATTCATTTTGATTGCCTTGATCTTTAAGCTAGTTCGTGTACACATATGTAGAAAAGCTTATCAAAACTCTAAAACCACAAATAAGGGCTTTATGAGTAAACCCTATTGCTCGGCTTGGACATAGTTACCATTATAAATCGCTGATCTTGAGTTTTATTCATAATTATGGATGTATTATGGATCAAAATAATGAATTTTGAAGATCATGATATTCAGATCAAGTATGATAATGATAATGAAAATCTATTCATTTTGGAATACTTTTTATGATCAAATTTGATTTGATTAAATTTTTCTTTCATATGCTGAATCATTTGAATATATTTTGGATTCATAAATATGAACAATAATTGTACTTTGGTATCAATTATAGATTCAAATCACTATAATATTATTTATTTTTCTGGTTTAGAAAAAAAACATAAAAATATGCAAATCGTTTAATGCATTTAAAAAATTTATGAGTGATGTTTGTTTGGTATAACTCAACTCTTGAATTTAACTCTAGTTAATTTAACTCAAACTAGTATTAGGATTAGTTGCCAAGTTAATATTAGCACTAGGGTTTCATTTGCCAGCTATAAATATTTGAGGGCAAGAGACATAATGCTTTTGAACAAGAGATGAACAAGTTAGTTTTGGAGGACGTAGCTCGAGATTCGATGAACCACGTCAATTGCCTGTATCGTATTGTCTTGTGTATCGGTATTATTGGTGCTTCATGTTGTATTTCTTGGACTTTTTTGTGACAATGTTGAAATATTTACCTACAGTAAAATATGTAGTTTTTTCAAAGTTCAATTTGTGCCAGAAAAAGCTTATGCTAGTACAACTCTATAACATTAGCTAACTCAATTCAATAGCTTTGCCTAAAACTAACAAAAACAAGAGCTGATTCAAATTTTGAAAGAAATTTAAAATTTATTTTTATGTATATATTCAAAAATAAATAAAATATAGTATTCCAAGATTATTAATTAAAATAAGTAATTAAAGTAATTCATTTAGATTGTTATTGATAAAAATAGAATTCAGATACAGAAATATAATCATATTGGAATTTAAAACTATATTGATGAATCCAGCAGATTGGATTTAATTTTATGATTATAATATGGCTTGTATAGATGTTGAAATTGTGACAGAATGTTTTTTTCCTCGTTCATGATTGACATTGTAGATGTTATAGGAAAAAAATAAATGAACATGAAATAAGTATAGATTTGAATTTTCTATAATGAAAAATTAAGTAAAAACATGAAATATGTTTTTCCTCATAAAATATTCAAAAGATCTGTATATGTTTTTCACTAATTCCATGAAGTTACTTCTAAAGTAGAGATATGTTGATAATGTTGTATAAATGTTTGCAAAGACTTCAAAATGTATATTTCTATCTCGTTAAATGATCGATAGATCATGGAAGGACAAAAAAAACTAATATTGTTATTTGAAGTTTGTATATGTGAAATTATTCAAAAAAATTTAACCAAAAATTTCATATCCTTTAATGACAACGTAATGAGTTTTGATGAACAAATTCCAATTTTTTTTTGTTTCATTGTATCAAATGTTCAAATGTTTTATTTTTGAAATAATATATAATAGAATTTACTTTACTTTTCAATTATCTTCATGAGTTTTGAAAGGTGGTCCTAGTTCTGATGTAGGATTGATAGTCTTTAATGGGACTCTTCACATCACCTGAATTTACTAAGTACTCATAGAATTCACATAAATCTAAGATTCATGTACACCGACAATAAAACAATTAACACCATGGAAATGAGAGGTTTACGAGCCTAAAACAGGCAGAATACGAAAGTCTTTGGAATAGGCAAACACAGGCTTGTTCGTGAAGTTGTTATATTAAAGAAACACGTACAGTTCACTTCATACGTTTTGTGCTTCTGATCGATGCTGAGATCTTATGACTATGGGCCGAAACGAAGCCGAGGAAAGCACATTCATGCATGTAAGCGAATCATAGCGCCCAAAGCACGAGCCGCAACTTTGGGTGTGATGATAATGAATTTATAAAGAAGTGAAGTACTTACTGTACAGAAGTGCGTAATGGTGTTCACTCATGCTCAGCATAACGACTTGTTCAGCTTGTTTTCTGCAGGCAGAAGGCATGATGCATGCAGTGAACTGAGCACTCCATGGAGAATCCGGATCGGATCTTAGAGAGGCGAAGTGAAGGAGTGATGGGGAAGATGTCACTTGTGTATGAGTGACATAGTGGGTAGGAAGTACGGGATGTCCGACCCGAAACGAAAAGAATGGAAAGAGAGGAGCGGGCCGGGAAGGGAAGAAGGTGGAGAGATCGGAGAATTTCGGTGCGGCACGCAAGCACTTTATTTTCCGAGAGGATTGAGCCAAACGTACTCCAAACTAGGAGGGCTCGGTCGCCTTGTGTCGGTTTGATTGGGTTTAATGTGGAGTATCTGGGGCATGGCAGCACAATATCCTCGTCCACACAAACGCTGCGATCTTCTTCGTCGATGAAAACGTGCGTTGAGGATGTGGAGCTGGGCCTGGAAAGTCTTGGACACGTTGGAAAGGAGCAATGGGCGTCGGGCTCGCGTTCGACGCCGATTGAGAAAGATTGGGGCCCGGCCACCCGGCGGGCGATGGTCAAGTGCACAGAGTTAAGCATGCACAGGCAGGAACGTGAGGAAGACGTCGGATGCTGCCGCTCGGTTTACTGGGGAGAGAGAACATCACGTCCATGCAGGTGCGAGCTATGGTAACCGGACTTTGTGTAGGCAGCGAGCAATGCACCACGTCTACTCGTGCGGAAGAGGAGGTGGTCGTATGGTAGAGAGAGATCAATGAATGAGTTGTCAAGAGATGTGAGATTTCGAGTCGGGTGAAAAGGCCGGTCTCGCAGGGTGTATGATGGATGCGCGAGAGCGTACGTCAGGATGGCCAGAGGTGAAGATGAAGTCGGAGTCGGAGCTTGGTTTGACGCGATTCCTTCTTATCTTCTTGGCCTGTGCGATTCAAGGAAATAACAGTTTCGGCACAGTGCGAACTTGGCGTGCGAGTACGTCATTATGCTTACTCGCCTAGGCGGAATCAACGATAAAGAATTCCGCTTCCACTTATAACTTTTAGTCGACGACTTTCGTCTGCCCTAGTTGGTACAAGGCACGCAAACATTGCTGCTCCTGGGCCACTGTGATGGCCACGGCAAACAAGCCCTGCCGCAGCCCCTCCATCTCTGGAAATCTGCCGGCCAGGATAATCTGCCAGTAGACGTACTGCCGTATATGCGTGCCACCCCGTCGCGCGTCGCTGTGTGTGGTGCTGCTGAGGGGGATCTGGTAGAAATGTAGATGACTGCCCCTGTCCATGACGACTTCTGGAGCGCCAGTGGAGTGGAGTAGGTTGTAAGGTCTAGGGCACTCTAAAGAGGTCGGCCAGAGGTCAGATGTCTGAGATGCGGAAAAAGGAGTCGGAAAGTCCCCAACTCAATCAATTCGTCGATCAATCACTCAAGAATGCTCCCCGTCACTGTGCCAAGGACTCTGGACTCGTCGACCTTGCCACAGACAGACTGACGACTGCATTCATTCAAGTCCGCAGTTGTACCATCCGAGCTAACCGTAGTTCGCCCCGCGCGAAGCGCTCCGTAGGGCTTTCTTAAAGAGGACGCCCCGAGGTACATCACGGCTTACCATCCCACGTTCATGGCTGGTAGTCGGGCCTTTCGAGCTCGGCCTATGGGAGATGCCGCTAGCGAACATTGGCGAGCGGCCGATCGAGATCGTCGCTGGCAGATAGTCTCCATGCGGGTGCGGAGTACATAACCGGTAGCCGATGCGCACGTCTGAAGTCGCTTTCAGCAACCGCAGCTGCAGCAGCGGAAGCTGCTGCTTCTGCTTTGGTATGGAGCCAGACGCTGCGTAATATCTGTCCACGACCTTTTCGATGTTCAACGCCGGGCAGAATCTTTAAAGCTTTGATAGAGCGTGATCAGATAGCGTTCCGACTGTACTCAGTGGATATTCGATAGAACACGGCACCCCGAGGTGTAATCTGCACTCAGCGCTACGGGGTTTGAAGTAAACAAAGTACGCTCTCTTCGAGAGTTCAGTTTGATGCTCGTCCCTCATCATGCAGAGCTATTAACAGATCCCACGAGGCTACTAGGCTCAGGACTCTTTTCTCCATCAATCGTAATACGCTAGAGGACGTGGCTCTCATCCCGCACAACCAGGCAGGCGTCCTCGACCAGGCAATGGGTCCCAAACTTGATACAGGAACGCAAGCTGGTGGGTTGTGGTCAGAGATTCCGGCGTGAGCCCGCGCAGCTGGCCACGGAAGATGTTGCAGTTTTCCCTTCAGGCCCTTCGTTCATGGAGCTTTGAAAAGCTTGGATGCACATACAAAGGGAAATAGTCTTATACACTTATTGACCTGGCACGGCCCGGCCCGACCCAACCGACCCCATTATTTTTTTCCGTGCGCATGCACCTCATCCTTCCGAGAACTCATCATCTTCGGCCTATTATTAGGTTTTGTGCGTTTACTGGGATGAATTGAGAGCAAGGCGACATGAGAAGAGCGACAGCAGATTTTACCGAACGAATTTGAGGTTGATCACTCGCCAGCGTCTCCTGATCCTTTTACTATTAAATTTCTTGGCCTTTCGACCTTGCATGTGCACATCCCTCCAGTTCCCAAAGCCAGAAGAACCGTCCCACTGCATTCCCCGTTTAGTTTACACACGCGCACACACACACACTCTCGTCACATGCGATGTGTGCTTGTGGACTTCCAGAGCATGGTACTTACACTGTGCCCATGTTTACACAACTACCGCCGTTTCGCCACAACCTCATTGGTCGAACGAATATCTGGACCGAACCACCAGCAGCTTTCTTGCAGACTCGAGTTTTACAACGTCCTCGCAGAAACTCCAGCCACGGACAACACATTACCGCAACCCATTTACTTCGCGGGAGTCTTGCCGAATTTGTGGCTCGTACATCATTGACCGATTCTTGTAAAGCACATTTTCCACAGTTCCTACCACAGAGAAATGGTGGTGGGAACTGTGGCGAGCCAGGCTAAGCAACTTTCTTCGCTTGTGGGAGACGAGACCATCGGCGCATGGCCTCCTTCCGTCCTAACCCCCTCCAAAACAAATGTCACGCGACATATTCTTGGTCGGGGCAGAGGAGCAGAGAGATGTAGTCATCGAGCTGGAGTCTTAACTTCCTACCTACTCCATGCAATTACAGTATGTGGCGACCCTTGTAGGCTGCACCGAGCTCTCGTGTGTGATGAGGGCCCAAGTGGACTTCTGGCCTGTAGACAACTTCTGCTCCGTTTTTAGTCATCAATAGGTCATCAAAGTCATTGATTGGAATCCGTCCCCGAGATTTCTGAACAATTTGTCCGCTGCTCCATCAAGATATATATATACCCGCAGGTACTACCACCACCAAGTCTCCACACCTCACCCTAAACCCAGAGTAGAAATGTCACCTCACAAATCGGTCGCCTGTTCTCAGTTTCTCTCTCTCGCCCTCGGGCCTGCCAGCCATCCATCCATCAGGCATCCTCCACCCTGTTTCTCTTTGCTTGAAGCCTGGCTGCCTGCTGCCTGCCTGCCTGCCTGCGTGCTGACTGCCAGCCAGTCAGTCAGCCATGTCAACTTTTCCCAAGCTCTTTTGTCCTCTAGGCTCTAGTGTCTACTCCTTCGGCCTGGCCATACTTTGGCACCTTCCGAGATTCCACGGGAAAGCCACTTCTGCCTAGCCAATGGACGAAGTGCTCGCGCTGAGAGCGAGTTTGTGGAATGAGTGCCCTCCCTCACTCACTGTACGCGTAAGTCTTTTCTCCTCCTCGACTAAGATCCTCCAAATCCTTATCCCCATAATGCTCTCTTACAACACATGCACTTCATGGGGTCGGTCCGCCCTTGTCCTCCTGCCTCTGGCTCGCTGCCTGTCCTCTCCTCTCCTCCACCCCATGAATCAATGAATGAATGAGCCCCCAGTCGTTCGCTTTTACGAAGTCGCGCCTCGCTCGGGCCAACCACGTAGAAAGGAGTGAGAGTGAGGGTCGAGTCAAACGTGCCGAGGGAAGTTGCAGTCCAGAACGCTGTGCGGTCGCCTTCACTCGCAACTACGCTCTCTCGAATAATAGCGAAGGGAAGGGCAAAAGGCAAACGTCGACTTCTCACCGGCGGCCGCCCTGCGACGACGATCGTCGGCGATCATCGATCCATCGGACGGACAAAAAACGAAGGCATGCTCGTCCGTCGCGCGCGCACGGTTCAAACCTGCACACGGCAGGGTCCGACGGCGCGCCGACAGTCCGCGGCCGGCTGACTGCCTCTCTCGCCGACCGACGACTCTACTTTCTACAGTCGGAAAGTGGCTTGCCCGCGCTCTCGCCGTGTACGCTACATTCTTTATCTCGTTCGCTACTTGTAGCCCTCGCCCTCGCTCGGATCACCTTCGCATCATTCGAATGACCGCTTCAGATCATACCGTTGCGCGCATATCGCAGCGGCATTCAATTTATTCCTCGGTCGTCTCCCGGCCTCCTCACACTCGAAATATGACCCCGGGCACGAGGGCGAATGCGAGCCGGTATACGAATCGATGCCACCGTACGTTACGGCGCGGCGATGACCGCATCCGAACATTCTTCTCCCCGCTGCCCGGCTGCCCGGCTGCCCGGATACTGCACAATTCTACGTCGCGGCCGTAGCCTGCCTGCTCGCCTCGGCTCGGCTCGTCTTATTGTGTCGAAGGACATTGAATCCCACGAGACTCCAGAGAGCGCCAGTGCGCCCGAAGGATTCGCCGTAATGTTCCCGTATTCTCCGTGTGTATGAGTAGCCGAGCCTAATAGGTTAAGAAATAAGGAGCTCGAGACAGAATTCGAGAGCGAGAGCGACCGAGAAAGCGAGCTGAAATTAGAAGGCTAGGAGGGCCTGGCTTGGCCTGGGCTGTGGCCAGGCACCGCAGTTGAAGACCTACCATCCATCCGAGCCATTCCATTCCATTCCATCCCATCCCATCGCATCCGGAGTACCACCGGTGCGGCAGGCAGGCAGGCAGGCAGGCAGTCGACGACGACGACGACGACGACGACTACTGCACAGAGAGAGAAAGAGAGAGTGCGGTGCTCTTCTCCTTCTGCTGCTGCTGTCCTTGCGTTCGCTTTCGGGCTCTATTTCTGTGCGCGGGGTTGCGCATGCGTGTACACATACATACAACAAACGTTTACACAGCGGCGGCAGCGGCCAGGGGGAGATATCATATCACAGATAGACAGACAGAGAGAGAAAACCCGAGTAGAGGGAGGGACCTGGTGGCCGGCGTGGTTGGATGGAAGGCCATGCGGTCGGTCAAATGGAACTCGAGAGGCAGGCTGCAAATAACTCCGTGTCCAATCTTTGGGTGTGTGTTGGTGCTTCGGAGTTTTGTTGGGGGGCGAAGGCGAAGGTCAGGGGGTGGGAGAGGGAGGGGGAATGTCACACGTGCGCGAGGGAGAGGAGAGTTAAAGTTAAGAAAGAGTGAGTGAGTGAGTGAGCGAGTGAGTGATTGAGAGAGACACAGGGAGGGAGGGAGAGAGAGAGAGAGAGAGAGCTTGGAAAGAGGAGCGAGCAGCGCATGCAGAGATGCGAGCGCTGCGCTCATTGGCAGCCATGCCCGTCCTTTCTCTGCCCGCTCTGCCACCTTGGCCTATCTTCTCCTGTTTCGCCTCTTGCTCCTGGTGCAACTACTACTACTGTCATGATACTACATCTACTGCTACCGCTTCTGCACTCATCTCACGCTCCCTATGCCCTAGCCTCGCCCTGCTGCTGCTTCTTCTTCTTCGCCTTCTTCACGCTTCTCGTGTTCCGTATCCCGCACATCTTTCCTCCTTTCTTCCTCCTGTCAACATCGCCAACTTCTTTGTGCCCGCATCCCCCCTTCTCAATCTGTGCTCTCCTCTGATTGGCACTCCCGACCCTTCGCCGTTGCGGGCAATCTCTCTCTGCCGCGGTTCTTTTCCCTCCCACCCGATTTGCAATCGAGCGGTGCCCGAGTGAAGCTACGTCTTCTCTTCGTGAATTATCGCTTCGACGTTCCGTGGCTCGCGCCTCGTTCCTCCGAAGCCGTGAGTCTGCCTTAGCAGCGCAGCAATTCTCTCAGCTGGTGAGTCCCATAGCAGTGCCAGTCCTCCCATACTGGTCGTCCGCTGGTGTGGAGCTTTTCTCTCTCTTCAGATTATAAATCTTTTACGAGCCGACATCGTTGTGTCTCGCTGTCCCGTGTGTCTGTTCCGATAGACGCAGTCCGGTCGGGTGGGATCGTCGATTCCGCCTCACTGAAATCATGCGAGGCGCATTGTATGTTGCTACCTGTTTGAAGCGAGGAAAGGAGACGTAGTGAAGTATGTTTGGATTCCTTCCCGTACATGACGGACTGTCTTTTGTGGTCTGCGTTTACATAGCGACCTCATCGGGCTTCGGGCGCGAGCCAACTTGAGGAGCGAACGACAGGAGAATGGAAGTCCTTTCCATGGACGAGGACGGAGGAAGTCCAGTGCAGCGGAAGACGACTTCCAGGCGGAAGAAGAGTGCCGCGCAAATCGAGTACTTGGAGCGCCTTTATGCCGGTCAGTGCTTGGTTCCCTCCTCTGATCTTTGCCCCATTCCACTACCTCTACATACCTTTTGGTCATCTCCTCCTTTCTAGGTTTACCCCGCCTGTTTGTGGGACGAACATGGTCTGTTGTGTTCAGCAAAGCTCTGTCTGTTTTCTTGTCGACGTATACCGAAATTTGTCAAGATCAATCCCAATCTGTTCAGAGAAAACTGAATTGTTGCTGGTGAATACTACAAGCTCGCCCGGAAACAGGGTTTGCAGCCTTTTGTGGAAGGATGGCTGAAAGGTTCCTTGTTTTCTTGCAGAGAACAAATATCCCTCCGAGGAGGTTCGAGCGAAGTTAAGTGCGCAGCTAGGCCTTTCTGAAAAGCAGATGCAAATATGGTTCACCCACAGGCGGCACAAGGACAGGAAGGATGGTGTGGAGGACGTCAAATTGACCTTCTACGCGATGAGACATAAGGGAGGGGAAGCACACCTTGATTTCATGGAAGAACTGAACAGTGGAAAGAGAATGGGAGGAAGTTTCAATGGAAGGGAGGACATGGTTCCTAGTAATGGTTTTCAACCCCAGTCTTTTCACGGCGGAGAAATTAGCAATGGTCATTACATAGTAGACAAGAGGATGGAAAGGACCGAAAGGACGGACAGCGAGTCTGACAATAGTGAACTGGGAGAAGCAGAAGATCTTGTCGGTAATGGATATTTACCACCTATGAAGAGAGGAAGCATGGTCAACCGGAAGGATCGTGGCGTGTATAAGAGACCTCTGCCTGTACCCCCTCGAGGGAAGCCAGGTGCACACGAGTTGGAAAACGCTGCCATTGCCGCGGTAGAGGCCCAGTTAGGTGGAGCCATCAGAGTCGACGGACCCCTTCTAGGGATGGAGTTCGATTCGCTTCCTCCTGACGCATGGTCCCACCTAGGGAACGGAACAGGTACTGGACTACGGACCAAATGTGGTGAATTTTGCCTGATATGAGTTGATTGAATTTCGATTGACCTTCTTGTTGTATTCTTTCTGCAGTCCCGATACCAGTTCAAGGGGTCCAAGGCCGTGGCGTGGGATCAGGAAGAATGCTGACCGTCGGAACCTATTGAAGAGGTACATGTCAACCCAATTATCAGGGGCTATCTCCCTCTATGTGCTTACTGGGCTTTAAACTCCGGTCGAAACCGTAATTTTTTTAAATTACGCCCTTAAAAGATCCTTAGCTTGAATTCTGCAAGTAAAGCGGGACTTTTTCGAGTTTGATACTGATATGAAGCCTACGTATAGAGTCGTATGCTCAAGTTACTTGCACGGTGTCGAGACTTGTCGTTGAAATTATGACTGGTCAGTCGAAATTTAGTCGCCTGATGCTCCTGATTATAATTGCCGTGCACCATGCTACCTGGCGTCAGTTCATGGTCTTGGTACCAGCATGTATGTCCCGGTTGAACCAGCTCCTCTCTAGAATCAATGCCGATCCTCACTTTGCCCTCATGGAAATGTCGATGATAAGGTTTCTCCGGTACATATAACCCTTTCTGATTCTATCGTTTTTTAAATCCTTGGCGCAGATTTTTTCAGGCATGATTTGTGGAACTGCCTTTCGTTTCATCCTTCCATCAGAGCAATTTTGGATTAGATGGTTGATAATACTGCGCGCTGATGCTTTCTTCTTCACCTGGTAACCGAGGTAGACACCATCTCTTGGCTTAAAATCTAGTCCCGCGAATTTGTGGAGATCTTCTTTCGACTTTTAAATTGTTTTGACTGAAATTTTGATTGTACTGGTCTTGAAATGAAGATTTGTTTTAACATTTTCGACCACTCGTTGCACAGGTTTGAAGACTGAAGAGTGTTCAGCTGCTTATTATCTGTAAAGCTCTGAGGAACGTCCTAGAGGCAGTTTGAGAAATCAATAACGGATTAGATGTAGGTGGCCATGTTGAGCGATGCATGTTGTACAAGCCAAGCCAAGCGAACGGAAGGAAAGCGGCTGTTATAACAGTAGGGCAAATTTTTCTCGCAGCGTCGAAACGATCTGTCATGAAAGTGGAAGGGTGTGTATAGTACAATCAGTTAGAAGATCCTTAGACCCTTTTAGTGATACGTAGGTCATTCCCGTTAAGACCCTTCGTATATTCATCATACATTTTCCTTGATTTCCAGTTTCTGCCACCCAGGGTAAGAAGATGTCAACACGCCGCAAAAGGCAAGACCGTGCTGTTCTCTAGAACCGGACTATTAAAGGCCTTAGTATGTGAAATATGGCTTCGTGGACATTACTGTGGAAGCCGGGTGGAACTCTAGCTGGATTTGTGCAAAACGGAGGCAGTCATCAGGGTGGAACTTTGTAGGTAGTTGCTTCAGTGTACTTTTGTAATTAAAACACAGTCAATGGTTCTCTGTAAATCGTTCCTTATTGTGTATAATCTCCGTCTGGACTTACTCATTACTCTTCGTTGCAAAAGCTGTCAATTCTTTGCATGATTTGTTACTCGTGCCGTACTCCGGTTTGACATTTTTTCTATTGTTGGTCAAAATCCTGCTAAGTTTGATAAGATTCAATACTTTCTTGACCTAGGGTTAGAAGAAAACTGCGTTATGGACGTAGAATTTGCGGATATGGGGCCGAGTCAAAGTCGTATAATACGCAGGCCTTCCGATGTGATTATGTTTAGGCAAAGTTCTCGAGGCTTCGGCTATCCTTGTATGCAAAGAGTAGTCGGTCCCTTGTCCCATGGGTTGTTCACGACAGCTGCTCGAAGGGCATGTTTATTTTCATGCATGCGAAGTCGGACACGCACAGTGAGGCCCTGTCCATCCACGTCTTTTGATCGTTTGACTTAATGCACCTTACCGGTGATGAGTGGGCACCATGGCGGGTGGCGTAATTTCGCGTGCTCCAAGCGTGTCGACATTCCGAACGCTGCAGCCACGATGTGCCCAATTTGGACTCTTATCATACTGCGATTATAGACCAGGAGACCGTAGCCAGCAGGCACTTCCTAATGTGGAAATCTTTCTCACTCTCGGAAACAGACGATTATACGAATGTGGCCAGTCCCAATCACCCAATCATGGCGAGCCCGACGTGCCATGGCGTCGCGACGGTCTACCGTTCGTCACGAAAAGTGGTGCCATCAAGGAATGCAGTTGACGATCGTAGTCGCTCGAAGTACATAGACCAGTACGGTTGGCAACTCCCGGTGGGGTCGTCGCTTTCCACCAGATTTCAGTCCTTGAGGGAGGAGCCTCGCGAAGCTGAGGGAGCCGAAGAGTAGCTCTCGTAGGGATGGGGATCGGGGTCATGGTAGATTGCATCTCCTGCAGCAGAGCAGACACAGATTCTGGTGGGACCGTCCGGCGTGCAGGACGCAACGAACATGACTCAACAGATTTCAGAACTGCCCATGTCCTGTCAGTGCGGGCGGGCGGATGGATGTCTGTCTAGTCCCCCCCCGGTCCCTTTCTTTGTGCCTGTCCTCCCTCGGGCCTCGTGACGTCGATAGCTGATTGACATTGTATTGACTGCCTGTCCCATTTCAGTCATGCGTACACAGTGTCCCAGTCAAAAGGCACAGACACGCCACAAATCTCGTACTGCGTAGTTTTCGCTTGCTCGATTTCCAAACCTTGTCATCGGACTCACCCTTTGAATGCAGTTGACGCGCACGCCTACACGCGCAGGCCAAGCTCGTGCAGGACCGAAATTTACAGCAGAGTTGCAATATCTGTCCTAACCTAAGTCCAAAATGTATCTCTCACCCTCGCCATCAATTTCAGTCAGAAAAATATGAATACTCTCACGCTTGCGCGACTTGTTTTCTCATAGTGGGCAGCTGACAAAGTAGAGGCTCAACATCTGGATGGCATCAATGGAGCTTCACGGTCTATTTTAGTCGCTCGGGCTGAATCTCGTGCAAGGGTGCCATGTCCTCCAGTAGGTGTACCGAAGCCTAATGCTGTCCGTGGAAACGCGTGGCCGCATTCGATTCACTGTCGTGTTAGAGTCAGAGAGCGATGACACCGCAGGATCGTCGAACGACAGGGAACATCGCATCGAATGCGAGTCCTTCTTCTACGTCCCTGTCGACCACGCTGTTGGCGATGGATGATCCCAGCTTATCGTCCATGGCTTGTCACAGGCTTCCTTTTAATTGACAGCCACAAAAGTCCACCTTCACGATTGCAGTGATCGCGAGTGGAAAGAAGGTCGAAACAAATGTTGACCCTGATGCTCAATGACCGTGGCTCTTCTTCTTCAGTGGTTGTCGGCAGTTTCTGTGGTTGAACTTCTGCTCTCTTGGAGAGGCCCTCCAATTTCACATCCTGTTGACCAGACTCCGTGGACAGCAGAAGCTGTTCCTACCGTAGGTAAGTTGCAGTTCTTTACAACTCCACTGCAGTAATGTCGCAGCCCTAAACTATGTTGCAGGCAATAAGAGATGAATCATGTCTTTGTGATTCCTGTCGCGGCCCTTGCAGGAGAGAACAGCCTGTTGGACGGCGAATCTCACACCATTGATCAGAACAGGCCGGATTCGCCTTTACCCGACGACATCTGCAGAGCAGAGCAGAGCAGTCTTATTGGACTTAAAACCCCGATGAGTCGTAAGATAGTCTGCACTTCTGAATGAGCTCGATTGCCAGTATAATGAGGCGACTAGTACAGACACGAACAGACATGGCTTGAATGATTTGCCTTTTGGAGTAAAATCTAGGCTGACCTTCTCTGCCTGCCTGCCTGCCTTTCCTGCGTGCTCTCCCGGTACTGCACATTGTACCACCTACCTCTGCTCGTCTCTTCATTCCGTGGCGCAAAGTCTTGCATCTCCGACCATTGTTTAGACAACTGGACCCCATCCCATTCCCCACCCTAAACCCTTCAATCAGAGCAGGAAACCATACGGTACCGTCGTGGGTATGCATGCATTGCCCCTACCCATACATAGGATTCCACTCTTGAAAGCGATGAAACCCGAGATTTGTAGTATCATAGAGAGACTACAGAAAGATAAGTACAGGAGGAAGTCGGTACGAAAACCGTCTGAACTAAAGAGTGAGGCAAAAAGCCAAACCTTAAAAGGACAAACCAACTATAACCATACCTATGACATGTATGTCACTGCGTGTAGACCAGACCAACCGATGTTAGCTCCAACATCTGATACGGAGGGAGGAGTCGAGAATGGGGAAATCAGACTCGAATAATCCCACGAAATCGCTGTGACGCTACGAAATACGGTACCCATCATACGAAGTATAATCTGATAAAGGCGTACTTTCTGACCCTCTTCTCGTGGTGTATGATGTAAATGGCAACATGTCTCCACCAAAGGACTGAGTGCATCCGAAGTAGAATGTCCGACATATCTGTCCTCCTTTCTTTCTCTCAGGCATGGTACTTGAAATGTAAAATACCAAGTCACTGACAGCTGCTGAGGATTTGTACTTCTCCAGCACGTAAACCCGGTAATATTTAAGCACCAACTCTTCTCGACAGATGATCCACAGGAACAATGTGATGTCGTATCTATCAGCGTAAGGGAAGAAAGACCAGCTAGATTTTTTGGACTCTAGCTAGCCTGGAGAAAGAACGTCTAATAATAGTTTTATATTTTATATGGGAGAAGTAACTGATAAATATGCTAGGACGATCCATCGAGTCCTACATGGATGGAAACAACGCCGCAGTATGGTCCAATCTCTACTAGCATTAACATAGAAAATAAAGAGTATCGCATCGAGGATATATTCCACACTTGATACTAAGAATCATCATCAAACAAGACTAGTCAACGTTTACGAAGTCTAAAATAGACTACATATATACCTTACTTTGATATATTGCTAACAGAAATTAAAAAAATTGCAAAAGAAAATGAATGAAGGAGTAGCAGCATGAAACAATAGATGCAGATACCTATCATCGCATAGAACGACAGAATTATTAATATGCTTCATTATACGATATCTCATCGGCTTGAGTCCAAAATAATTAAATATGAATTTCAAATACTTTACTAAAAGCAAACGAAACAAACAGTGTTGAAAGAAATGTAAGGTAAATTATCATATTTAAATTTAATATTTCATCGATAAAAAAGTATAATTTAAAATATTTAGATATAATTAAGCCTGTAAATAATTCTATCGTTATCAACATAAAATCTCATTTATGATATTAAGAGGGAAGTGCATAGGCAAAATATTCTTATTTTTTTCACATTATTCTGAAATAAATTTACAATCTTTTCATACCCTTGATAAGACCAAAAAACTGTTGATAGTGGATTTCATGTAAATATATGTTTTTTATATAAAGTAAAATATTTTATAAGCTGTAATCATGATTATAATATCTGATGCTAGACTTGATGATTTGATGATTTTTTGGAACTATTTTGTAATAAATTCCATAAAAACATTGAGTTTGAAAATAATTTAAAATAAGATTCAATATCTTTTAATATAATCTTAATCAAAGAAAATATTTGAAACTAACAAATAATTTATAATTTGAATACTTTAAAGTTTTATACTTGAATAATCTAAAAAATCGCCTTAAAACTATGTATTGTGATAGCAATCTTTATCATGTATCTTTTTTATCAAAAAATTTTGAAGTTTGATAACATTAATATTTTAAAACCTTGTTTGCAGAATATTTTGATGATGATGCAATGTTCTGTAAATAATTTTAAAATTATGCCTCAAATTCATAGCTCTCAATATTTTTTAATTTTTTGGACTGAATTGTAATTTTGATATTTAAGTATGAAAAAAAATCAAAATCAAAAAAATCAAATCCCATAAAAAACATCTCATATAAACAAAACTCTATATATTTATTTGAAATTTGATTTAATTTATGAATGAAAGTTTAAAAAAATTTGATTTGTAAAATGCCAACTCATTTGTTATGTGTGCAAATGATGATTATGAAAAAATTGAATGGCAAAAATTTTCAAGTAAATATGTGTCTATATTTGAATGTGGCTGCATAAGCTAAATATCTACTTTGCATAAGTGCATAGCTAAGTCTATTAAAACGAGTATGCACTAGCAAAAAAACACTTTGGTTAAATGTTTGATGAAAAATATAAACAACACATGATTCACATCACAAAGAATCTCATTGCAATAATCAAATTGCTTAAAAAATAACTTTGAATTTGATGATATATGACACTAGACTGAAGTCTTTCGGTATTCGGTGCTTTCTTCATAAACACATTGTGTTTCTTAAAATGATTGAGCCGATCAAGATCAATGAAAATAAAATGTAGCAAATACTCTCATCTATGTGATTATTACAAATTATTATGCAATGTCTTGAATTATTCATATATTTGCAAAGCCTGCAGGTTTTGCATATATGTGAGTATTTATAGAGTAGAATATGAAATTGCTTTACTTCTATGATCTTACTTTATCTGATTTTGGCTACGATTTGGTTGTAAGAAATTGTAGTTTCTAGAAAATGCTATGCTAGATTTTTTTTAATGAAATTTTTCTAGGTGAATATTAATTGCAATAGAGATTATAGACCTCAATTCATGAATCAAGCGAATAATTGTCATGAAATAACTTATATCTTGATTTATCGTGAGTAATTTGATGATAGTTAGACTAAATGTTTACTCTGCGCTATTCAAGAGCTGAAAAAACTCTTTATAAATAAAATTAGAATTTTTCAATTGAAAACTCTATATGTTACGCTTAGTTCAATCACATATTTATTTATTCACATCGTCAAGATATTTTTTTTTGACAATATCAATCAAAATACACAACCATACTATATTTAGGAGGTATGGAAGAGCTAAGCGCTCAAACCTTAGTACTTATCTACTCACGTTTAATTATTAACGTAACTATTTTCATTCAAATGATCGAGTAAAGATATTATCTTCTCATCCTTTCATTAAGACTGCAATCTTTGTTTTGGCTTTAGCTGCCTTTGCTAAAATTGAGCTTTGAAAGGGTTTAAGATTATTATTGCCTTTTTGCTTTTGTGAACTCTTGAAATAAACACACAATTGATCAGACCACAAAGCTTTACCATCTGGATTGGATTTACTTGGATTTTGATGTGATTGATGGAAAGTGTATAGCGCTAAAGATTTTATAGAACTTTCTAGGGATGAGATTGTGTGATGATTATACCAAAAACTGATCTGAAATATTCACAAGTCAAGTTTTATATGTATGCATTTTTCACATGTTATGTTGAACACATGCCATAACGGCCAAATCTCGATGACATGTGATGAAGAATCGGTAATATCTCCTCATACCTGCCATAGTGCTCTTCCTACTTGCGTCTCAATGTAGAAGGGATCAGAAACAGATGTGAAACATGTCATATAACTTCTTTGATTTCCAAAGATAAAAAGCTAGTGCTACATGTATGGTGGCAATCAAGTAATTGATATATAATCGTTAGGTTCATTTGTTTCGTTTTTAGGAATAAATCCTAAATAATATAGATCAGATCACATATGATGTGGAATTTTTGTTATTTTTTAAGTATATATTTTACATGGTGATGATTAAGTGATTAATTTTGAAATACAAATTTACATGGTTATAGTATTGAAGATTAATTTCAGTAGCATTTCCACATGCATGATCAATGAATATCGATACATGTGATAATCAGTTAACATTCCGCTTCATACTGTTGCTTCTTTAAAGATGCGTATATTCGTGGATCGGACGTGGACAGTGCATAAAGGTATAGTAGTCCAGATCGCATAGCCAGCCTACATTGGAACGCAACACACTTGTATTCTATTGCTGACTCCCACAGTCACGCAGTATCCTTTTCAAGCCAGCTTTCTCCTTCATATGTTTCAGATGCGGATGCATTCCATGCAATGAGATTGTTCCTCCTTTTATCTACTTACCTCCGGTTGCATGTCACGTTCCTGCAAAAGGGAGACATAGAAATTAAACCTTGTACAAAGCAAAAGCTAGAGCATTCCAGAAACAACCCAACTCTTGCAAAAGGAAAATATTGAAGCTAATTCTCTTGTGATACAATGTTATGGTCTCAACCTAGCCTAAGACGTCTTCTATATGCACTGGTGATAAAACGAGATCTTGAACCAACAAGAATAAAAAGTGATGTTGCTTTAGATATAGTATTCACTGTAGCAAATATATCTCATCACTATATTTTCTCGATGAGATATATATTAAACAAGACAAGATAATGTCGCTCGTTACAAAAGGAGAACACTGATTAGCCCTATTATTATATTCATTCTGTAACTTGTTAGAGTCTACGGAATCTATGTTCAATTTTTCCCACGTGTCCTTTCACATCAAAGTTACATTGTTTTAAAGTTGGAGTCCAAATCAGCTGAAAGATGGATGTAGTCAAATAGGTACATATTGAAAAAGCCAATCACACTTTATTGTCAAATAGTCAAAAAAGATGTGTCAGTTACCATCCTCTTCTCTAGAAGAATGTTACACCTAAAAAAATACAGAACTACAACACATTTTTCATTTTTCACATTTGTCCATATTTCATCAAGAAAGCTAAAACATCACTTGGCGTGAGCAAAATTGATATGGCTTGCACAATGAGCTGAGGAGGAAGCAAGAAAAAGGCTCTGATCATTGTCCTAACATCTAGATCCGTTAGCTCAGATGTGCTCTGTGCTAGATCTGGTGGGTCGGTGGGTTGGTCCTCTGAGTGCCGGAACCTTGTCTTTATGAGAAGGAAGATGTATGCGCCGTGTGGTGAGCCAAGCCCTGAAGTCCTCAAGTCTGAGCCCGCCCAAGTGCACACCAGAACATGTACAGGAAACAGACCTTGTCTGTCTTTCCCGTTCTTTTGTAAATCACCGTCTGAATTCAACTGTAGTCCAGAAGATCAGAGCTGATGGATTATTGTGATGGATAGATAGTCAAGAGATCTTTATTCCCTGCTTTTGGACTAAATCTGATACGGTCTGGTGGACTTGTGCTTGTAAGGCAGCTATCACAGTTCGGAGAATTGCCACACAAATTCGGATTCTGGAAGATTTTTTAGTTTCTACTGTAGTTTTCTCATGATTATTGATTGTTACAACATCCACATATGTCACAGAAGACAAAGAATATTCTCTTTTCCGTTCTTTCCGAGTTACCTGCCTGATATGAGGTGATTAATGACTCGTGTGTCAATCTACTGTACAAGAGTCTTGACTTTTGACTTCCGTGGGAGATTGGTTGACACCAGTATCATCACATCTATGAGAAGGGATAGTGTTGACATCTTGCTTCCACTACACAGATTTCCCTCTGGTCCCACTCCGCTTTCTCATTCCTCCTCCAATCCACATCATGTTTTAATTGCCTGCCTTCCTCCAGCATCAATCAAAGAACAGTACGAGAAATATAGCATAATGTGGAATTTAATAAATGTTTAATTTGTCGGGGGTATGTTTATATATATATAATATATTTTAAAAATTGTATTTAAAATTAATATCATCTATATATTCTTTAAACAACCTATACAGTTTGTAAACTGTATAAATTTTTTATTTTTTGTATATCATGGACTTATTCGTAAAATATTATATAACAAAATCAAGTGAAGGTTCATGTATATTTATGAAATTTACAATGTAGATTCATATGAATCAGATATCTTAAATCAAAATATTATTACCTTCATATTATTAGTATTAGTATTATTCTTATATTTCATGTCTTGATTGAAAGGGCTTTCTACTTATGTTTTTGCGCTAAGTCTCACTTTTCATATAGAGGAGGGAAAGACGATAAATCTGAGATGGCTAATAAACAAAAGGGGAGGATAAGATAGCAATGGAAGGTATGTACATGGAATTGCACCCAGTACATCTGAGCGATCTACGTACAATATCCGAACATGCATCCCGAGAAACATGGGATAGCGTGACTGCCTGTATCCAATGCTAAAGCGACGGGAAAAAGCCGGCGGCTGCCGAAAGCATGAAGCGTACTTGGATGGATGGATGGATAGGGAGATGGTATGTGGAGTCTTTCTTCACTTAATGGCGCACTCACAGGAGTCACGTTTCTCGTGTGGCAAGTTGTGGCTTGGAGGTCTGAATTAGACCCATCACCATAGCCATGAGCTCTGTGCCCTATCAAGCTGTCCCTCTGGCCTGGGGCACCTCTCGCGAGAAAGTGCATGGAAGTTTGTCAATCTTGGCCTCTTCGTCTACGTTCGTCCTATTTTGACCGATAGAGCTTCGATGAACACTGTGATCGGCATGGATGCCGAACGGGATTTTGCGTCTCAACCACTATTAGGTCGAATACAACGTCCTCACATATGGTTTACTTTTCCTTTCAGATGTCAGAAGACTGCAGTAGTTTTTTTTCGCGGCCGGTTTAATGGCTTCTTATATGGCCCGATTTTTCTCTTGTTTCTACTGGTGCTTGCGATTACGCTCACTGGCTTTCGAGCGACACAAGCACTTGCTCGCCTACAATTACATCCGGCTTGTAGGGAATGTCAGGAACGGCAGCGATCGATAGAAAGATGAAGTTCTCGCAAAAGAATTTGACGAGTTTTGTGAATATTCCAACCAAAAGAATGTGTATCATATCATGCACGCATCTAAACGACATAGAGACAGGCAAGCCAATCTGTGATTTCTTTAGGGATTCTTTAAAGCACCCACCACTCAAGGGGTGGTGGAGTAAAACCTCGACTTTCCAAAGGACGTCGTACTCGTGGCACTCCTAATAATCGTTGATCTCGCATTCTCTATGGTGTGACTGTTGTGATGAATAAGCTGAAATAACTGGTAGCAGAGGGCAGTTTATTTCCACAGAAGAACAGTTCTTGCAGAGCATCTTTTGCATTTTATTGCATCGAAAGTATCCTGTGCCGAATAGACGAGTTTTTACCTTTCTGACCTCTTAAAGAACTACACTACACGGCAGAGTATGTTTCGTCATACGTACGCAATATGTCACTCGGCTTTTCACATTCGTTCAGATCTTCCATATTTATTATCTCTTGCCTTGCATTCATTTGCCTAAGAGGGATTGGCTATACCTGTTACGAGATGGTGTGTAAGATGGTTGAGGCCGAAATTAAATGAATATTCTTGTGTCGGTGCGTGTGGATGCTTTTAATATATGTTAGCATAGTCCCACAATCTATATTAATATCTATTCAGCATTCAAGATGTCTAGGATGAGTGGTCCGGTCGTTTTTCCTGTACAAGGTGCTATCATACCAAAGAAAGTTAGTTCCAGTCTTCTCGTGTCAAATTACGAGACTTCTTCTAATTTTATGTGTACTCATACTTCAAGTGATTTTCCCCGTTCAGCTCAATCGTGCATGTCAATTCAAAAAGGAACAGCCTTAAGAATCGGTGAAAACATTTAGTATATAGCATAGAGCGTAGAGAACTTCGCTTAATAGCGACTGGCTGCTGAGAGTTGATGCACTTCCACCTCATGTTATGATACTGCAGTACCAGTCAGTACGACGTGGTTCAGCCGTTAAAACAACTATTGACATCTTACTTCGCATATTAACAATGTACTGGCACATTTTAATCACATAACACGCAAGTAGTGGGCACATGACACAACGTCAGAACATCGACACTCACAAAATACTGCCCTCATTAGAATGAAAAAACTAGGGCTGTACACTCCGTATGCCTAATTAATGACAATCATCACCCAATCATTCAGAAGCTGGTAATTCTGCCCGTCCCGAAACGTCGGTGATGTCAGCTCAGTGGTTTATTATATCACGATCAGTATGGTGAAGACTGATACGATATTAGACCGTCTAAATTGTTATTTCTGTGAAGTAGCAAGTTCTAATGTTTTCCTCTACAGCGCAAGAAGGAAGTACTCTTGAGTAGTGTCTCCTTGTGACATGTACAGAGTGGAAGAGTTGAAACAGCATGTAATTTTGTTCAAGCCCGCTTTAGTTCGTAGTCAGTTGTGGAAGATCGCTAAGAAGATTGTCCCGCTTTCAAAGCGTGTTAAAAGCGGCCTCACACACGAGAGCAACACTGCCTCGTGACGAAGGTTACTGCGTACTAATGAAGAGAATCTGCACGAACTACAGTACGTTCAGAACCTTTCATGCGTAGAAGACGGTGATATGGAGAGGGAACCTTCGAAGCAGCCTTTTCTTTTGGAACAGCAACAAAGAGATTGTCGTTTTCGTGAAACTTTAACGCAGCTTCACAAAAACATGCACGGAAAAGTATCTCGATGGGATCGTCACACGTTAGAAAATTCCAAGCTCCGATTGTGTGCACATTTCCAGAACTCCAGAACGCACCAGGGGAATCAAAGCTCTGTATCGGAAGGTGAAAAATTATCTCAAGCTAGACCATTAACGTCATTTTCCGCTTTCAGCAAAATCAACTGTTAGAGCTCTATCCCAGAAATCGAGCCGAGCGGAGTTTCAGAACCCTCTAGCTTACTGAACTGGGCACACATATGCCAGAGTAAGAAAGACACTATCTCTTCATGGTGTTGATTTTCGTTCGGATAAAAGAATCTATATCTTCAAGCTTGCACACCAAATTACCAGTGAGAGCAGACTTAACTTCAAATGAGTATATACAGATTGGGGAGGGTTTGCAGTCAACAACAAGATTGGCATGGCGTTCTGAAGGAGACTGCCAGTGAAGATATGTTACTGCAATGGGACTAAGACACCACAGCATGCAGCAAAGAGATTAAGAAAATATTGATATTACCCAGACAATGTTTCTTTGAATCCCAACTGGATACGTTTCGGTTTTCTTACAACTGCCTGCCGAATGTACACATGTGTATTCCCTTCTACAGAGTACCCCACTTTGAAATAACACACAAGGAAACGGCAACGCAGCATTCAGTGCTGCGTGTGCTGCAATGTATTGACAATACATAAACCTTTCCATGGTTCAAAGGAAGGTGCTCGAGCTGTGTCTCCGGACAGACCAACAATTCCATTAACTAAACAAGATGTCACACGAGGATCAGGCGTTGGCTATGGCGATAAAATTCATCGAAATATATCCAGCATTCGGAATAATGAGCGGAAAATCAAAAGCTGAAAGGAATGAACAACGCTCAGTCGGACCTTCCGGAAGCAGAGGCACATTTCAGCAGCAGTTGGTTCTTTCCAAAACCAGCACTTGCGAGTATATGATACTTGAGGACGAGGCAGGAATACAATCCTACACCATATATCCGATTTGCTGGAAGAAATAGAGCCTTGTGATCTGAACCCAAGCTCCAGTAGATCTTGTAGCTCTCCACTGAATTTACATAGAACTTACATTACTTGCTCGCAGACTACTGATTCTAAGTGAGATGCTTCTCCAAGGAGAGTTTAAATTCCTTGGGAAACAAGCACAACCAGCACGACTCATACATTGTCGTGAATCACGACGCTCATCTAACACCTAGTTTGCCTAATCAACTTCATGAAGGCACATCCGTTCTACTAATAAACAGAGAGTGGAATGCAGAAAAGACTTGCATCACTGAATGTGACACTGCCCTAGAAGACAATATACACGACTAGAAAGAGCTTCTAGTGAGCAATTTAACCATAGCACCGAATGGGGTCATTGCAGCCCTTCTCGGTGGACTGGCGGAAGCCAAATCGGCCACCTTTCGCCAAATACTGCTGATGATACTCCTCTGCTCGGTACCACTTCTTCGCCGGCAAAACTTCTGTCACGATTTTCTTGTTCATCTTAGCTTGATGCTTCGCCATCGACTCCTTTGCAGCCTGTTCCTGCTCCGGAGAGTAGAAGTAGATGCCTGACCTGTACTGAGTCCCCACATCTCCTCCCTGCTTGCAACAATCCAATTGCATTCCCGGTTAGGATGCTGATGATGAGACTCTCGAGTCACTAAATACAAAGAAAAGGGAGATCCAACACACATAGTGAAGGTGACTACGAGACACACAATCTACGTGCTTCGGCTTTCTCAAATCTACACGTCTTAATAAGAACGACGGGTGTCGATCTCAACGGGGCATGCGCGTCTTTTCGCATTTGAGTACATCCAGGTATATGGCTTTCATGGAGATTGCGCTTTCGCTGACAACATTTCATCATCATGGATAAGAAACACAAATGTTAGAAGGTAACACCAACTCGTGATTCTAGCCAGAACTTATCACACTACAATCAGTGTACGAATTAGTTTCTCACACGACACCAGAAACACCTTCACAAAGTCTTACTCGCTAAATCCTTCCTGTCATCCAGAAGCACAATCCTTCAGGCTTCCACTGTTCAAAACGGCGACAACAGCGCATTTCGAACACCGAATCATGAAGAAACACATCTCCCATGATAATCACTTCATGAGCTACCGTCATCCATGGCAGGGCCTAGTGTTCAACCGAATGAGGCCACTGTCCTTTCCTGGAGTAATCTCGTATGTTCACAGCCCAGGGAGTCGAAAGGAGCTCGATCACTGGTTCCATCTAGTGGACAAATCACCTGGACTGCTGAGAGAATTCTAAACACTTACATCCAATTACGGCTAAAAATCATTTCGATGCGCATTCATATCACCGAAGAATTTTCTTAATTTTTTTAATAAAAATTACAGTTGTGCTTTACTACGGTGTTCTCGAAATCTGCGCGATTCATCGTGCACAACAAAACGAGCTCCATATTATTTCTACACACAGAGCGTGTGTGGGATGGCATAGACACAAAGTTCAAATTCGATTCTATTCCCGAAGAGAGAGCGTTTAAATGAGTGACTGAATTCAGAAGTAGAAAGCACAAGGGGGAAATCGACGGACAACCAACCTGTCTGTTGAGGGTGGTGGGATCGTGGCGGGCCCAGAAGACGTCCAAAAGACTTTCGTAGGTGCACGTGTTGGGATCGTAATGAATTCTCACGACCTCCGAGTGGCCGGTGTTGCCGTCGCACACATCACTATATGAAGGGTTGTGCACATGGCCCTGCGTGTAACCGACCTCGGTTTTCACCACCCCAGGCACTCTCTGGAACGCCAGCTCCACTCCCCAGAAACATCCCGCTCCGAAACCCGCAAAATTGCACCCGGTCGATGGCGTATCATCGTCGGGCCCAAGAGCAGGGCTGTTGGAGGCCTCCGCCGAGGCTCTGGCAGCGGCGGCCTTGTTGTTCGAGGACCCGAACCCCAATTTGCTCAACCATCCTCCGTCCATTCCCAGAGGCGCGAATTTCACAAGACCCCCGGATTTCCCCACCGGCGCACTCTGCAATTTGATCTTCACACCCACAAATGCCGACGCGGCACACGCAGCAACCTCGCCCTTGCTCCCCACGAAGCTCAACGACGAGAGGCACGCGGAGGAAGCTCGCCCTCGGACCTGTGCGCCCACCGATTGCAGCGACATGGCAGCTCCCCTTCCCCGCACTCGCACCAGCGATGACGAGCGCTGCCGCTGCTCAACGTCTCCCCTCCGCGCCCAACGTGCCTGGGCTCCAAGTATGGCCGAAGGTTCTGCGTCTTCCCGGCCCCCCGCGCCTTCTTTCTCACCTTCACCTCCATCTCGACCTTCTGCCGCCCGCTCGCTGCTGAACGCTCGGACCTTCCCTTCCCTTCCCTTCCATCGCACTCCACGCCCGCGCTTAATTGGAGACGCTGACATATCCGGTGTCCGGTCTCCCGGTCGCCGGTGGCCGGGAGCCCGGCCGCGCTTTTGTGGCTGACGTTGGGTTTCATCACCAGGACTCCGCTGTCCGTCTCTGGAAAGCTCCAACTCCTTTTTATCCACTTCTTCTCTTCTCGGGGCGAGGGTCCCGAGATGTCTACACTATCCACCTGTCCCGCAAGGAAGGGCGGGTTCTAATCGAAGCAGCATTGAGGCGATGCTTGATGACCACGGGAATGGCTTTGTGATGTCGTGATGGCTTTGCTGCGTTTGCCTTTTTCGATTGGGATCGATGTGATATATCGTGACTGGCCCCGGTTGATGTTGCGTCTACAGCGGAGACATCGATACGGCACAGGACTCGATGATTCTTGCAATATGTTAATATTGCTATTTTATTTTTATTATCCTTCATGCATTGCCGCACATAAGAACAGTCTGCATTATCATTGTAAGTACTTATTTTTTTCCGTAATTATTTAATGTTCGACTGAAATGCTTTACTTAACCTGATAAGAGCTCGCAATTGAATATAATATCTTATGTCAATCCGAAATATTATCCCTAAATGATTTAATTATATACATATAAAATTTCTAGGTTACGAGAAAGTTTTGGGAAGATTATATGGATACATTTTATAAAACTAGTAACACGACAAAGGTTGTTCACCAATCACCAGACGATGTACTGTACACAAGTGTGCATCGACAATGTTTTGAGAACCGCTGAAATCCGAGCTGGGTACGCATGCGTAAGGGAGCAAAGAAAATAAAGACGTCCGGGAAATTTGAGTGTTGTGTTCCATACGTGGAAAGTTTGTATCTCTTTCGTATAGCACAGTGTGTAGTCACTACCCTTCAAAAAGTGTTGTCTACGGGAGCGTATAAAACACTATCACTTGAGTCAAGAGGATGCCCAAAAACAACAGAGAAAGACACTTTCTACACATGAACAGTAAGTGCATAACGTGACTCTCTAAAAGTTAGCAAACAATAAATACTTTTTAATTCAGTTTAGAATTTAATCTCATAATCTAGTGCACCCTAATGTAGAGATGTTGCAGTTTCTATACTTTTTAGATTGTAATTATGAAATCTATAAATTAATATTACATAGTGCAACTTTAATAGAAATTAGCGATTAAATCATCTCATTGGGATTTCATGTCTTCTGCGAAGTTGCAATTTTGCTTTGAAAAAAAATATATCTCTTCAAAGGTTCGATATATTTCAATATCGGGTCCTGAAATTTAGCAGTCGTGCGCTGTTGGAACTAGTCTCTTATATAGTGCCCTGAAATATAGAAACATACAACTAATGCCGGAGGAACATGAAAGCTGAAGTGCAACCAAAACTCATGGATGTGCACTGTGAAACGACTGGCCATCGACGAACGACCAATAGAGACTTTAGACATGACTGGATGTACTCTGCATAGACAAATACTGAAGGATACTTATGAATGACCCAATGGGATATGCGACTATAGCCCATATGCAGATCATGCATTTCATTTGTTCATCCTTCGCAGAGGAAACAATGTGTAAAATTGATAGACAATTTAAACCCTATAAATATCATTTAGATTGGGCTCACACGAACATTTGGTTCACTTGGTATCCGAGACAAGGAAACACCGTAACTCATCTTTGCACCCTCATCCCTTTCCTCAACAAGATTAAGATACGCACTGTGCAATACGAAAGGGATCATAAGTGATTGAAACGATATGCAAAGTTCCCTTCAGTAATCTCCTTCATCCCTTTAAAGTTTCTGTTAGTTCTAATCACAGAAGATCAGATATTTCTGAGTATAAGTAGATATGTTTGAACGGGCATGTTCTCAACAACAACATTCAATATCAATGTGCCTATATGGTTGTTAACTATGAGGACTAAAGCAAAACTTTCAAGATGCATATATTGTTCTGCTGGAGAAATCATTCAATCTACTTTCTGGTGACTAGTACTAGTTAAGAGGATAAAATGTTTACTTAAAGATGTACTTAAAAACTTTAAGATATGATGGTGTAAGAAAAACAATATTTCATGCTAAATTGAATTTATCCAATTCCAAGGACTTTTCGCTGCCGTCTAAATAGTCGAACAGTCCAATGCCAAGATCGAATGCTTCTGACTCATGACACCTTTGCAAGGCAAAAACTGTAAGTGGGGAAGTGATTTTATGGTGGCTGAATTGAAGTTGTGATTGCTATCCTCATAATTCAAATTCCGAACACAGAAAGGTTCGCAAAGAGTCCTTGACAAATGGCATGTTGAGTCAACGAGGATGAGCACGGCCTACGAGTTGTGGGTATGCCGCATCTCACCTGAACTGTGTGGCAAGAACAATCAGTCTGCAGACTTTGAACATAAATGTGTGACCACGACATTGTGGAAGTCTCCAGAGAGATGTACGAATTTAGAATATCACTCATTCAGGAGAACTCCTTCAAGAAACTTCCAAATGGTAAGGACGATGTCGAAAACCGCACAATGGTTTTCAATGAAGTGTGAATTAGTCACTGGGTCACCACAAAAAATCTATGTACATTGTGAGGTTGCAGTGCCCCATCTAGCAAAACACACAACGATACAACAGCAAAATTGTTGGGCTAATTCACCTCAACACTACCTGCTAATGTGCCGCAACGGCCAGCAAATGACTCGCCCAGTATAGTGGCTTCCTACAATAGCTCTGACAGCTCCTAAGAGGTTCACCAAAACTTCAACTTCAAGCCTAACGCATCTACAATACCCATACCACCTACCAGACATGCGAGGTAGCTTGATAATGCACCCATAGCCACGTGAGTGGGCGCAAAGATGGTTTGCATACTCATGTTTACCAACCCTGTCAAAATGTTGGCCTGATTCAACCAAGAATACACAGGTTGTAAGGCGTGACCTGGCATACATCTATGAGCAAGCGTACCCCGCCAAATCAGAATGTTTAAGTACGAACATTTCAGGTACAATCAATCTGGTGTAAAATGTAGAGCTACCTTGCATCTAGTTCTGTGAACAAAGTGTTGTGAAGTTCAAGAAACTCAACATTCTGAGTTAAAATTGAGTCAATTCAACATGTTTACGACATCGAGGGCTTACCCACAGAAAAGTCGCCAGCATATTTTGGTCAAATATCCGAAGAAGAGGCATTACTCTGGGCGGAAGCATAGAATCTGCTGTCAAAAATATTGCAATAACCTGTTGGGTTCAACGCAGATCAGTCGATGTCCTTCGAATGCCCGATATCTTTGAACTGATTGTAAACGTGCGTATTAGCGTATGATAAAGCAGAATATAGAATTTTTCTGATGTTCACATAAACAGAGTCGTGGTAGTACTGATAATCTTTGACGCATATGACAGAACATTGAGCACATGTACTTTCTCAAAGCCGGCAGATAACTATACCTCGAGATTTTGAGCAAGCACAAAGAGCACATATGCCAAATTGCACTGCGACACAAGGCAAGGACAGTCAGCGTGTAAGCTTCACTTCGTCCGCAGAGGCGACTGATATATTTCAGAATCTTCAGTAGAATTCATCATGAAGAGCATACGAGATAAGTTCGAGGGAACTGCAACATTTTCGAGATCGGGGCACCTGAGAGAATCCACGATGTACATGGGAATCTCCCCAGTTGCAAGCATCTATGCTTGCAAGAACACTAAAGTATGCGTTTGAGTTAGGAAACACAGAAACTAAGCTATCCCCAGGTGACAGAGAAGGAAAGATACGCACGACAGTAGTTGAATCATACCATGCGACGAGAGACTCTTTCGATGAACTCGTCCACAAATATTGCAAGCAACCTGCATGACTAATAGTATATCAACGGACTCGGTCGAATGATGGTAACCATTTCACTTAAATTAAAATTAGCATATCTATATTCTTGGCCATTTCCATACACGCCGATACGATAACAAACTCCAAATTTAAAGACTAATCAAAACAGTTGTGTTGCGGGAGCAAAACCTGGAAATCCTGGAGACCCAGCTTACCAGAAAATGGCGTCAAGAAGCCAAACATCTATAACAATCCACCACTTAGTTGCACCATTCTTTTTGCCATAACTTGAACCATTGGCCCCTTGGCTAAAGAACCTTTCGGGTAGACAGCATAGGTAGTTGCCCAATCGAACACTGATTAGATACATACTCCAGTACCCTGCCGAATGACAAACGTAAGTCTTCATCGTAACTGCCTGACCCAAAGTTCCGCCAACGTAAGCTTGTAAAACAACCGTAAAAGAATCGGAGCTAGATTAGGACCAATTGTTACCAAAAATGCTGTAGACGCCTTCCTTGTTAAGACTTATAAGTCCCGGACCACGCTCGGAGGATAACAGGTACTTGTTTAGGCCAAAAGACAGACTTGCCTGATATCCTACAACCCACAAATAAATCACAGGAGTTAAATAGAATAGTTAAGTAAGGGTTAATATGTGGGATGATCGAACAAATACAGAGTGTAATGGTCTGACTGACTTCATGAAGTAACATATTAGATCCCACTTAACTGACGTTGCAGAGACTCAAAGCATCTATACAACAAAACAACCACACATTCAAATTTACAAATCTGGTTCATACCTCCAAGTATCACTACCGCCAAGCTCCCACAGTATGCAGTAGGAACGTGGATGAGGGATGTTAGAAGCGCAACAGCTGCTAGTGTGAAAAAAAAGTTCCAGTGCACTCCGTACTCGGCTACATGCTCCTGTTCAAGAGCGAAAGGGCACCATATCAATGTTATAGAGCTAGAAAAGCAATCGGGATGGAACCAGCGTAGAGTCGAATGAAATATGTAGCGAATATAAGCTTCGTGACATTGATTATACATTATAACTAGCAGACGCTCGTAAGAATCTCCAGATAACTCAAGTGAATGCGAACCTGATAGTCTACGCCCTTAGTAAGAATGAGTCTGGCAAAGCCAATCACTAGAAGAGGACTCGTGTTGCGAAGGACACCTCCATATTTTCTGTAATACGATCAAAACTTTTCTGTAAGGAATAAATCTTCAGCACTCTTGACTCGCTAAGGTACAAATTCGACCCACAATGACTTGTCAAATATAAAACTGAAGAGCACACTTCGATCCTTAATTCTCCCATCAAAACCGTCGGGCATGTGAACAGTTACATACGACGGTGGCAGGTTGCGCGCCTGCCTTGACACTAGGCCATTTGCAACTACAAACGATCCAACTCCAACATCCATCTGGACACAAATTCAAACAAGCAATTTTCTCAGTCACAAGACTTTCCATAAAGCTTTGCTGAGGTCCAACAGATTCGTCTGGCCATGATCTAACTCATTCTGAATTGACAGCCTAGACATACCAACCAAAACTTCATCCTACGAGTGTGCACTTTATCTCATGCAGCCAGGGCTTTCACAAGGAAAAAAGAGAAATTTCTTATACAGTCAAATATTCGTAATTAGCCACTTATGCTGGGAGAAGAGCGTGGAGTGCTTCCAAATTTCACGCTCAAATATCAAAGATGCTACTACAATGAAAAACTAGGCGAAATTTAGCGTGCAAGACTTCGGTAAGCTTCACCGACTCACCAGTCCAGTTCCATAGGTTTCGGTTTTTGCATAACGCCGTGGGAACACGTTGAAATCCACCGCAAGGATGCTGACACATGTTACCAACATCTAGAGAGCACATGGAAAGAAAGTAAGGGTGACTACACAGATTATAAAACCTAGCCGAAAGAATCAAACCTGCACGAACTACTAATCTTATATTTTGCAGAGTTTGCGAGAAGCAAGTGAGAATTTACCATGGTAAACCTGAAATAGGAGAGAAAACCGGTTCTGCGAGAGGAGGTTTCCTTCGATACTACTTGAGGGTAGAGATCCACATTGCTTTGATACTTCGTCCTGCACAGCCAAGTGCGAGCACGACGTAAGCTATCTTTTTTTCAAAGATAGCACTTTGTCTGGAGAAACTTCTCTACAATAGCACTCCCAGCAAAGTGAACACAGTCACCTATATAAATCACGGCGCAAACTAGGCATGACGAAGCACATGTAATCAGAAAAGTTTTTATGCAAAGTCATCTAGGAATTGAAATTGTGGGCTTTATAATTCTCGTCCTCTGTCCAACTTTTTATAAGCATAGAGGATTCCCTAGCAGTGCTGAAAAGAATCGCCCGGTTCATCGTGGTTTATCGGATTACCAATATGAGACACCATATAGAACATCAAATACCTTCTAAGGAGAAGTACGCCAATGAGTGTGAGGACCAAAGAAAATCCAGTTATAATGTATATCCAATCGGCAAGAACCTGCAAAAGAACCAAGAAACTGCACACATGCAGGTCCATTTGAACCCGTGCATAGAAGACTCTCGAAGCCAACAGAAACCTAAAGCCAACTCGGTGCAAATCTGAAATAGCTCCGGATGGTAGAGCCACTTCGTAACCATACCTATACTCATAGTTCATATATAATCAATGAAGCGACTATCTTATGTGTCAAACAAAACATCCAGTACTCGTTGAAGAAAACATGGTAATTATCACGTTAGAAAAAACTAGGAGATGATGAGAAGGAAAATGGTGTAGAAGGTAAGGTAAGGTTGTGAGTCGAATGACGTCTATCACCCACCTATGTCATCATCGACAGCATTTTCGAGCGGGCACTTCTACACTGCCCATCCTAACGCATTATATTCATCGCTACATTTGTACAATTCATTGTGCAAGACTTGAGAAACAACGGGATAAGAATTATTCTTGGATTAAAAGTAGTGTCAAGAGTATACGAGGGTCATAACCCCATACTTTGAGTCAGAGGTCAGAGAAGAAACTGATTGAAGTTAATGTGTTTAAAATGGTGCAAAATAAGGATGCGCGAATTACCGTCAAACATGCAAGAGTCGGTAGGATCACAAAAATAAAATCACTGAGTAACCGAGTTCTGTAATTTGGACCGCCAAGAGCTAAACTCCTGTCACCTTTCACTTCTCCGTCGCTGCTGGTGACATCTTCCTTTGCGGCTGCAGAAGGTATAACGCAGGTGGAGGTGACAATTTCTGAACATAAGTATATACTTCTCAACATGAAATTCTTTGTAGTAATCATCAAAAAGACGCGAGATAATCGTCGAAATATTCACTCAGGATCACAACGTGCAAAGATAGTCCATCTGAAATAAGCTCACCAGGTAGAATGAGACCTCCAAGTTGTCGCAAAATGATAAACGTCTGCACGCAGAGCAAACAACTGGAAACCTTGAACATGGAGGTGCTAAATGAAGATGAATATGCTAGAGCTTGATTCTAGACATCATCTAGTCCGTACTTTAGGTGCTCTCCATGACTTTAAGCCCATAACAAAATCGCAGATCAGAATTGAAGCACGATCCGAAGCACGAAGTCAATGGGTCTACAAAGATACTCACAGGTACAACGGCCGTCAAAGCGGCAATCTCCGCCATTGTGGAACCATGCAGATTACTGACGAATCTGAAAATTGACCAATGCTTGGTGTTAGTAACACTAAAAACGATCATGCAAGACTTACTCCAGTTCAGCTTGAAGTATTTACATTTGACTTCAGAGCTGACGCCATACAGTTCTGTATTAATGTGGCCACATCGCCAAGAACTGGAGCCCCTATCGTCCTAGATCTCTAAAAGGAGAAATCACGAAAACGCAAACACTCGCAAGCAGTTCCCCTGCAATTGCCAAGTGTCGCGATCATGAGTCCAGGAAGAAAATTGGAGCTGAAATGCAGCTAAAAAGCTACATTTCAGCTCCAATTTCAAACTCGCAACGCATCAGAGTTCACCTAGACCCGGAGCAGCATGGCGAGACCAATCTGTCACGAGGGAACGCTACCACTTACGCTTCTTTCAGCTGTTTCAAACCGACATCCCCAGCCAATGCAATCTCTTCCGAAAACTCCATGGCCTCCGAACTAAGAAAGCCCACAGAGCCGTGCGCCGGGTCGACCGATCAGCAAACATCCAACACGATCGTCCAGACCATGAGACGACGATGCAATCGCTCTCCGCGCGTGTTCTATGAACCAGCCCTCAGAACCTTGTCTCTTTCTCTTCGTCTTCCTCTTCTCTTCCTTCTACTCCTCCTACTCCCTTCCTTCTCCGTCGTCTCCTCGAGCGAGGAGAAAGCGCTGGACGAACGCCGTCTCTAAATTAGGGGAGGAAAGGTGTCCCCGAAGGGCAATCGAGCAAATGAGCAGAGGAGCAGAGGAGCCTCCAGATTTGGAGGCGGATCCGGTTCGACCCACAGCGCACCAACACCTGCTTTGCAAGGGTGGGGAGCAAGGGGCGTCGTCCCATTCGAACGAGGCCTCCTAGAGGCCCCGAGAGGGGGGCGGAGGGACGGAGGGCCGCCCTGCCAGTCCTCTGCCTCGTGCGCGCTTTTGCTCTGTGCAAAAGCAAGAACTTGAATGACTGACCCGCGGGGAGGGTCTTGTCGTCCGTTGCAGCAGGCGATTCACACTCTGACTCGGTAGTTCGAGCTCTCTGTCCCACCGCGCCCCTCGCGTCCTCCGATCTCTTCATCATGGCAGGCAGGCAGGCAGGCAGGCAGATCATTGTCGCTTCTTGATTTGGCGCGAGCGACGTCCAAAGTACACGTATGGAGCTGGGGATGGCCGTTCTCGTCCTGGGCGTGGGGAGTTCTTGCATGTCTCGGTTCTCTTCCCCTTTGTCCAGATCAGGAGAATTAAAGCAGGTTCCATCATGTGCTTCGAAAGATTCCGAACTTCACCTACTCCTCAGTCTCACGGTCCTCGGATCCTCGTGGCCTTTCCGATCCGTTTCCATTTCTGCTTCTTTCGTGTCTAGCATTAATTGAGACAGGTTGAAGGTGCCAGTACTTGTTGAAAAGAAAGACCATAGCACAGACGCTTGAGCTCTATACAAGACGACCACCAACCAGCCTCGGAAAACCCACCAAAAGACAAACGTCCAAATCTCGCTCCACCGTGAAGTGTTTAAGAAAAATCTGTGACTTCTTCCGGCTGACTGCATATCAGACTTCTTATTTGTCAGCATCCTAATCAGTACGTTCCAACGATCGGGCTATGACATTGAGATTTTGATCAAGCTGTATGCTACTCCTCGGGTACGACACTCTTGCTCGTGCCCAGCACAGTCCAGGAAGGGTAATCCTTTGAGAACTGGAGTCCGAGTGTTAGTTGTTGACAAAGGTTTCGCCCGTCAGCACATGCGGTAAGGGGAATGTAACTTGCACAGCGTTGATCCGAGTAATAATGAACTATTTTGTCCGTGCTTGTGTGTGTCTCTCAGGTGTGAGCAAGTAAAGGTGTTCACTTTTGCTCTGCTCGCTTCCTTCCAAGAAATGTCAGAGAGCGTCCAGCATCCTCTCTTCGTAAGTTCAGACTGTTGGCATTCGCCATCACGGTGCTGGTCTCTTGCGACGGCTCACGAGATGCTCGACAGCAGAAGGAAATCGGACACCTGCACGGAGAGCATACGTGCTCAGCAGATAATAACGCCTGATTCAATTGACGAGAGTCTCAACGAAAAGAAGATTGCCTGAGTGCAGAAAGGTCGATTGACGTGTCATTAATGCAGAAGCAGTCTGCGCGGCGGTGCAAAGTAGAGTTGTACGAAACTAGTACCTCGTGCATCATTTTCCGGGTGGTACATAAAATCTACCTTCGAGGGAAAAAATCAAAAAACTCGAATTGCCTCTACAGTAGCAATTTTCCTTTGTAATATACATTGTCTGATTTCATATCAGGCTCGGACCATGACCGTAACGTGCATGTTGACACTCTGTGCAGAGAACAACAACAACCTATGTCCACATGTGTAAAATACATCGGCTTCCTCTAGGGACCGACCACATAGGATTTCCTCTAAGAGTGAACTCAGAAGTACCAATTATACAAATGTATTCGATTCTCGCGAAAGAATGAGTGTATCTGCAAGCGGGGGTTTCCAGGGCTTGCACAATTCGAAGCTTGAGCTGGGCCTTGCGGTGCAAACAAGACAGTAAGAACCACAAGGATTAACTGGTGAAGGTTTCGTCGAGAACAGAGGACGAGGAAGAGAAAAACGCTTCGCAGGGATTGTGCAGCAGCTATTGACTCTGCACAAGAGCCAGTACTTCGGCGATGCTGGATAGCTTTCTCCTCTGCTTCATGAGCAATTTCGCGCAGTTGAGAGCTCTGCGTTCACATTTTGCCCTCACGTCCACATTCGCAATGCTTTCCAAGTCTTCGACGTGCGCGATGCCGACGATGCGTCTGATCATTTTGGCGGCGGCGAAGCCCAGAGAATCGCAAAACAGCTCCTCCATGAATCTTTTCTGCGCGAGCTCTATAACCTCCGGGGAGTTGTAGACTGCAGGTACGTATGCATCTCCGGGGCTGTCGCGCGACCTGTCCCACTCTCGTTTGAACTTGGCTGCAAACGAAGTCCAAAAGTCCGACACGGTCTGCAGAATCCACCCTCGGTAGTCCTCTCGACCGCCCTCGGTCGCAGAGTGACCATCCTGAGAATAATAGGCCAGGATGAGGTTCGCAATGAATGCACCAAGGTCGAACCCCATGGGACCGTAGAAACTGAACTCTGGGTCGATCACCTTCGTCGAAGTCTCCGTGACCATGATTGATCCCGTGTGCAAATCCCCATGGAGCAGAGCCTGTGTCCGCTCGCAAAATCTGGCCTTCAGCTCAGCTATTTCAGCTTTCAACTCGATGTCCTCCCGAAGGGCCCGTACATCTTCGTCGAGTTGAGGCGAGGTCCAGCGATTGTTCGGGGCTTCCATGTAAGGCTCAGAAAAAATGACCTGCTCGGTCAGCCTGCACATCTCAACGTTGGCGTAAGACTGGGCGGCCGCCATCTTATGCTTGTGAGTATCGAGGGCGAGAAGAGATGAGAAGAAGAGAGTTTTGGACGTGAAATCCGACATGTGGTCTGCGAGGCGAGGGTAGACGATTCCTTGGATCAGTCCCTTGCGAAGGATGATGTGAGGCGGCTCGCAGTAGCGCATGGCGATTACTGCCATTGGGTGATCGAAGTGGAAAATTTCCGGCACGTACTCGGGAACCAACTCGAATTCTTTTCTCAAGGCGTTCGCTTCGAAATAGGCGCGCTCCAAAGTCATGGCCCACGATTCTCCCACACAGCGAACGTATGGAAGCGCCTGCTTCAGAACCAAAGATCCTCGTGGTCCAACGACGATGTACACGAAATTCATGTTGCCATCTCCGACTTCTTTGATGTTCCAATCCTGGGGGGATCCTCCCAGTCTCTCGGCCAGGGGTGCGACCATAGCCAAATACTCGGATGCAGCCTTCTCATCCAAAGGTCGGTACTTCCTTCGCTCCTCCTCCTCCTGGTGCCCATTAGGGAGCGAGTTCCCGTTCTTATTCCCATTCTCCTTGCCGACCTCGGTCGCTCCTGCATCTACTGCCGCATACTCGGCATTCCCACTGGCAAATCCGCCAACATCTAAACGACTATTTTCATCCTTCCAAACAACTCCCGTGTCGGTGATAATTCCCGTGATGTACCGAGCTGGGGTGACATCGAATGCCGGATTCCAGACGCCAATTCCTGGGGCAGCGATCTCATGCCCGGCGCCGCCGAAAGCGTGAGTGAGCTCTGTCTTTGATCGTTCTTCTATGACGATTTCCTCCCCTGAACTGATGTGTAGATCCACCGTCGTTAACGGAGCAGCGACGAAGAAAGGGACGCCTAACTGGTGAGCAGCTAGTGCGAGGCTGAAAGTACCGATCTTGTTCGCAGTGTCACCGTTCGCTGCGATTCGGTCAGCACCGACTACTACAGCATGGACGCGTCCGGAAGCCATGAGAGATGCAGCGGCGGAGTCTGCGATCAGAACAGCGGGAATTTCATCGTGCACCAGCTCGAACGCCGTCAATCTGGAGCCCTGGTTGTAGGGACGAGTCTCCGTACAATAAGCCGTCTCGATCTTTCCTTGGCGAAACAAAGACCTAACAACACCCAGCGCTGTTCCATAGCCTGCCGTCGCTAGACTGCCAGTGTTGCAATGTGTGAGTACACACAGATTTTTCTGAACGCCGACGGCTTTCAAGATGGCTTTGGCCCCGTAATCTCCAATGGCCTTATTGGCCACCACATCATCCACAAGCATCTGTTCGGCAGCTTCGACGAAACAAGAAAAGACAGTCTTGGCATTTGCGCCTTCCAGAGTTGATGCCCGTGAGGTCAGCTGCTGAAGCTTGTCGGAGGCATCTGCCAGATTGACTGCAGTTGGACGGCTGGAGACGAGAAATTTGAGGCGCTTCTCGATGAAAGTGGCAGCATCCTTGGCATCTCCTTGGTATGAAGTCTGCAGATTGACTAGCTCGACAGCCAGAGCTAGAGCTGCGGTCACCGCAATGGCTGGTGCTCCCCGCACCACCATGTCCTTGATCGCAAGCCAGGCTGCATCAGAGTCAGGAACATCCACGTACACGGATTCATGGGGCAGCTTCTTCTGGTCCAGAAGCTGCAAGCTTCCGCGCTCGTAGCGAATAGCCTCCAAGGACTTGTCGTCCGCCATCGCACTTCCTTTCTGCCGAGTTACGAGAGTTGCAATGACGAGAGCCACTCTCGTAACTCAAACCTCGGAATTCCACTCTTCTCCTCCTTCGAAATTCCCAGGGCTGCCAAGATTCCTCCACAATTTAAATCCTTGCCCCGTACCGGTCAGTCACACTAGCCCCATCCAATGGCTGACACCACATCATCTACTGGCACGAGAGAAAGCTCATCGCAGGTTCTCTCCCCGCAACTAGCGTCTTCGACCTCTTCACGAAATTCTCACTTGCTTCGACACCAAGCAGCCGGAGCTCATACGGACGTAGCCATGAACAACGAACCATCTGAAAAGAAGGGCACCGATGCCAGAAGAAAGTTCAGCAGAGCATCGGTCGTTACGAGAAGCACGAACTCTGTTTCGTTTCCTACTATGACTCGACTATCATTGCTCAAACAACACACAGTCAACCACATCCAGCGTTCAAACTGTGATTCTTATAATACTCTGCAGTGATCACCAGGCATAGTAAACTGCAGAGCCGAGCCACTATTGGACTGTGTGCCGGCTAAAGAGACTACACTGCTTGTAAAGCGGACCCAAATTTCGCAATGTGTGATTAAGGACAGGGGGCAGTGAAAGAGGATGTGGGAATATCCCAACCTGCACAGAGCGAAGAGATAAGTTAGCCACAGGGAAGACCTGAATCACGGACTAGGTGCATCCTCCGGAATGTTGATCAACGAGCAGCAGGTGGCCGATAATGGATGAAGGACATTCACTCGGGCAACAGGAGAAAAAACAGCGACTTTCGCACAATTGCAGAGGGAGCATGAAGCGGGCATCTGTGACATGGGCCATCCATCCAATGGGCGTTTGTGCAGGGAGAAAAAGCAGCCCGTGAGATACCGGTTTGCCTACAAGCAATGATACGGATTGGTGATTTGTACGTCGTGATTTATGCGACTGCGCTCATTCGTGATTTCTCGTGTTTTGAGGCGTGATGAAACCAATTAGTGATGTCGTCAGCTTCGCAAAGATTGAAGGACCGATGATTTTCTCATCCTTGTCGTCATGTGGCCCCATGTGTGCAGCAACTCGAGACCCACGGTTTCCTTCCCCACTCTCTACCCTGACGCAAATGTCGTCAACCGTCTTTCTCTCCTACACCTCCTCCCCTTATTGGCATTCTCACCTCCACTGCAAACTCTCAATCTGTCTCCCAGCCAATGATAGTATTATAATAATAATAATATCATCAGAAAAAAAAGTACATGATAATAAAGTAAGAATTGCAAAAAACAGAGCAGAACAATGCAGATTGTCCTCAGAATCTCTTACCCCTGCGTTGAAATAATATTACTCGTATCCCCCTCATTTGTAACTCTAGGTAGTTACTGTAAATGCACTCGGGAGTGTTCGCAATGGCATGTCCGAAGAGGATTCTCAGAAATGATTCCGGTAGTTCAGATTTTACAAACTTTGATTTACTCAACGTTAAAGCGCAAGTTTAGTATTAAAAAAATTACAGTGAATTGTGACTCACCTTGAGAGAGTCACAATGATGATGATGCAATGGAATGGTAGAAGACTATGCTTTGTGATATTCAGCATTGTAGATCTTACTGTTATTTTCAATTCTTGAATATGTATGTAAATTCTAAAAATGAAACCCAACTACTTAATATCATTTCAAGAAAATTCAAACCAAAGTTTCAAAACTGATACTATCGCGGAATGTGAGTTGGCTTGGTTTACTTAGTATTCTGATAACCATCCTATTGGCTCACCTCTAGCTGTTGCCAATTTAGTATATAATAATTTAATAATAGACAATTTAACATATTTTTGCCAAATCTTTCTATTGTTAAGTAAGGGCTAGCATGAAACATGATATATCAAATATAAAAGCAAATGTCTCATTAATTTCAACCATTTTTTTAACCACTAGATGATTTATACTGCAAATAAAGTTATAAGAATTATAACTTCAACCATGTATGTTATAATAAATATTTATTTATTTATTTATTTATTTCTCAAAAACATCACATCAACAAAAACTAACATGTCTTTCCAAATCACATTCTTAAATTCACAACATTCAACATAAGAAGCAATCAAGTTATGCCTATAAGATCATCAATATTGATGACGGAAATGAAAACATTTTAAAATGTAGTTTATTTAATGAACTCTAAATTTATAAAATATATAATTTATCACATGTATCATAAATACATTCATGTAAATAGTCATTACATACAACGCAAATTCATCATCCCCTTATATACATTGATGTTTTTTCAAAATAATGCATAAATTATCTTATAATGCATAAATTAGCATATATCATTCAATTTGTTTTACAGTCATTTTCAACTATATGTGTTTTACATCATGTTGTCAACAAATCCATAAAATGTTATCAACTCTATATGAATCAACATCAAATAGCTAAATTGTGAAATTAAAAAAAAAATACATCGAATATACATCTTATCATTGATATTAATATTCCAACTATACATTCTTCCATATGTATAATGAATATGTAGGCACTTTTCATCACACAAAACTAATGTTAACCAACATAAAAGTCACATTGATAAACACATGTATAGAACTCATACATGATCATAGATTGTACTATCATAGACACAAAATCATCAATCAATTCCACATTAGTGTCAATATTTTGTTCATAACTATATTCAAATCACACAATTGAATACATCACATTGATATCTATCAAACCAAAAGATATGAAATTTTAATTTATTGTAAAGTTATGCTCTCATCAATCATAAAAAAAAAATGTTAACCAATTGAGTTTAATCTGATACACATTTCAATCCATATACATTTTAATTGAAATTAACAAATTCAAATGCAATAATTGATATATATATATATATATATGTATATTAGCATAAAATATTATTTTTCAGTTCAAAAAAAATGTATTCAGATAATTGTGTTGTTAATATTTTCCTTTATTTCATTTCTTTACAAATTATCAAAAATAAAAGTGATATATCTTCTTCTTTTTTTCAAAAATCAAATATCTTGCCATTTTTCTACATCAATATATATACATATGTTGATTGATTTGATTCGATTTATAAGAAATATGATAATTTATTTCGTTAATTATATAAATTGATATAATTGATAAATCAATAATAATTCACAAAAATATTTATAAATTTAATAACATAGTGCAATAAATACATTTTTGTTTATTATAATTTTTTTATCTATTCATTTTTAATTAAAGACATATTTTAATTAGAAAAAAACACATAGAATTGATTTTATCAAATGTGAACGTCGTTTTTTAATTGCTGATGTCATCTGAATTCCTAGTTTGATTCACATACTCATCTATGTGATATACTTATATTTTTATTTACAAAATTTAGGATAATATGCAATAAAAACTTATATCTATTATGAAAAATAAATACAATTGATACTTATAGTATCAATTACAAAAAACTTCATTCTTTTTCATTTTAGATGTCATGTGAATTCATATTTTGGTTTAAAAATTCATTTCTATAAATGATGAGTTTCATACTCGATATTTGTAAGACACTCAGCAAATTATTGCTTGATCTTTAACATGAACGATCTTCATGTTAAACCATGAATATTATATTTTTTTTATCAATTTTCAATTTAAAAAAATAGTTTTAAAATTTTGTTAGGGATAAATCACGTCGTTTTTGTCAACCCGAGTTTTCAAATTTCTTACTCTGGGAGTATAAAGATGACCAGCAGTAGCTAGTACCCTAAATATTGTTCAGTTTTTTTAGAAAACGATCAAGTACCGTCAACTATTGGGTAGCTTGCAAAATTCATTATTTGAAAGAAATGCTAAGTAAAAAATTCTAAATTTTGAGTTCAAATGACGAAAAAATTCAAGATTTGATGCTAAGTTGTCTTGCTTAATCATCCAAAATTTAATTGATCATGTAAAGAAATTAAGAAAAAATTGATAGAGATTATTTTTGGTCCCATAGATTTTAGAATGATCAATTATGAATTGCATTCTAATATAAATGTTGAAATTACCATATTTTGATCATTAAGTCAAACTCTAAGAAAGTCTACAAAAATTGTGGTATCAAGGCATTTGAAATGACATCTATCAAAGTTATTAATGTGAAGATTATAATATTATTTATATACTTGACGTTGTGAGTTATAAATTTATGATCAAATATTCACTTGAAAAAGTTGAAAGTAAGTAGATCTTGAAGTATGAAATGAGTAACAGATAAAAACTTCAGCTTTTATTATTATTTTAGCTTTTAGAAACTAACAAATTTGAGCTGTGATGCTTGTTATTGCATTGTCATGAATGTATAACTTGTAAAATTAATTGATAATTTTATTGTAGTGATTTTAATTATGTTCAAATTCATCTGTCAAGTTCATAATTGGATAAAATTTAGCTTTTGAGAAAATATATAATTGAACATCATTACTTTGTCATTTTATCAAAGGTTGGATACTGAATTAGTTTTGATTGGTTTCACAAAGCATAAGAATTTTATTAGCTAGATCAAATAAATTTTTTCTTACCCAGTGGTATATTAACTATCTAGAAGTTTCAAGATCATCATTGACACGCCATCACTTCAACTTATAACGAAGAAATTTTTTTCTAGATAAAATAATAGCATGTTATCATGTAATTTTTGTCACATAAATTAGTGATAAACACTGAATTAATCATAATAAAAACATTATATAATAATAAAATGAAAAATTATTAAATTTGAAAATGGATAGAAATAAATAGAAAGAGATAATTCTAGAAAAGATTTAAGATGTAAAAAGTTTGGAAATACATTTGTATAACTGAAAAATTTATTTTCGTTTTATTTTGCTTTGTACACATAAAGGTAAATGTAAGATTGAAAAGTAATGACAAACCATTATAATATTGAAAGTTCTACTCATACGCTTCTTGATATTTTCTTGTTCGACAGAAGAAATACTAGTCATCTATGTTATGTAAAAATCTTTTAAATTACAGTTTATATTTTATTCAAAGCAACTATAATGTAAGATATAGAAATGAATTATAAGTTGTAGTTTTTCAATCCAAGCTTTTTTTATAGGAAGAAATAATTCTAATAAATAATAAGAAAATGAGTACTTCCGGGCTTAAATACATTTCAGACCTTTTTTAACAACAAAAAAACAGTGTCAACATGGGGAGCTTTATCCCACCGAAAAGGGTTATTTTTTGCTCTAATGCCATCCCTTATTGTTATATATTCGAGATACTTGACACAGGCAGCAAGTGAATAGTCTCATTGCAGGGAATCAAAGTGTGAAACTGTGCTGCGTGGAACTGAAATTGCTTATCAAATGCTGAAACAACATGTCGCATGACCTCAACATTTGTCAAAGGAAATAGACTTTTCCGCAAAAATCGCCAGAAATTTTCCGCAGAACTGTGATCACGTAAAAGAAGTTTCTTCAGTTGAACCCCCACTTACCTTTGTCTTCATCTACTCGTCCCAGTCGTCCCGCGCAAACAATC